ACCTTTGTTTTCCACAGGTAAATGGTGACCAGCACTTCTTCCAGGAAACTTCTGAAATGCTGAAAAAGAACTGCTCTTATTGCCACTGACACAGGTGGGTTTCTGCTTCTGCATACTTAATTATACATGTAACTCATCTCCTTTCCCAACCCTCACCCCAACCATTAGTAAGGGTTCCCTTTAAATTAGGAAGGGAGTGAAGAAGTGAATTTTGGTTGCTTTCTCAAATTTCTCATAGCATAAGAGTTCTAGAGCTAGACAAAAGTATTCCTGTTTCTGTTTCTTGTCTGGTTAAACAGGAAAAAAAAAAAAAAAAAAAGTAAGGAAAAAAAAAGTAAAAGTTTGAAGAGAAAATGTTAGAGAAGTCTGATGGAATTGAAAAGAGAATTGAGCAGAAATAACGAGTCACTGAAGTCTCACAGTACTGGAAATAAAAATGAATTCACTTGAGTGTCAAATAATAAAGCAAAGATATGGGCTTAAAGGAAAAGGATGAGAAAATGAACTGCTCAAATAAGCAGACAGTCTGGTAACAGTGCAATGGCTATAGGAGATGAGGGAGACAGAATGATGGAGTGAGACAACACAACATTTTTCTTTCCAATGCAAAAAGTAAAGAGTAGCAGTAAAAACAGCTGAAAATGAGAATAAAGGAAAAATGAATAATGAAGTAAACAAAAGGAATGCAAATTTAAGATGTGAAAGGTGGGACAATGAAATTGAAAAAGACAGTGTAGAGAATTGAATAGATAAAGTCAGATGCAGGAACCTAATCATAAGAGAACAAAAAATAGATTAGAAATAAAAAATGAACCGGAATGGTAGGGGGAAAAAAACAAACTAGAAAAGTGCAGCAAGCAGAATAGCTAGATGAGAGAGATGGCCTAGCAACACAGCAAACACAATCTCCATCGTTTCCCTAGTGCTAAATTTGGACTATAATGCACCCACTGAGCTTGGAATTATAGTGAGCTTGATGTTCTCACAGTCCATTAAAGCTAATAAGCAATTGACCCCCAGACGGAGGAAAAAGCCCACAACTAAACCTCCTCCCTACCCAGGCAATAGCTGAAGCGACTACAGTGTCAGAAGACAGTTTCTTGATCTAAATCTAGTAATTGTTCCTTAAATATACACTGGCATCTTGTCAAACCAGGGAGATACTGTCATTCAGCACCAGGGACAGGACCACCAGCTTTGCCCATTCTTTCTTCCTAGCACACAGGTCTATCTGACCAGTCATAGACAGCAGGTTTCCCTGAAACACAGTAAGTGACACTTAATTAAACTTACTGAAAGAGAAGGTTCCACCTAGTCCCTACAAAAGCAAAATATGCCACTAGAGAGAAGAAACAAAATGTCTTTAATTATTAAGTAAAATGGGTAATTAATTGTTCTACTTGCTCCAAAGTTCCTGACACTTGCTATCCTAAATGGATTAAGAACATCTGATGGAAGCAGGGACTAGCCTCTTCCACCAAAAACCACCAGACATCTCTCCCTGTAGACACTGGCACTTATGCAAAAGCAGCCAGGCCCCCCTGCTTGCCTGAATGAGCTGTTCAAACTATACCACATCTACCTTAAACCTCTTATAAAGCCTGTGTACCATTTGCAAATGTTTCACTCCTCACCTTCAACCACCCATTTTTCATGAGAAGAGAGGCAATGCAATATAGCTTCTTAAGTATTTTCCTATAAACATTAAAGAAACTCTTCTTCATTAAATAATCTCAGCAGTGCAAAGCCAGAGCTATTTTTCATGACCAGTTCAATGTCACTATCCAATTCTTAAGACAGCAAACAGAATGTCCAATGGTGTTATCTCACTTCCTTTTTGAATGAGTAGTTTCTCAATTTACACATTCATATATTTAGTTTTGCATAAAGATCAAGTTGTCATCACAACACAAAGATTTACCTTCTGAACCCTCCGACATATTTCATAGATGTGCCACATCAAATCATGATGGAGAGCGTATGTATGAGTGTTACCAAGAGAGAATAAATGCTTTTACGCAACAGATTGTATATAAATACAAATCCTTCTCACTGGTAAAATGTGATAGGAAATTTAATCGTTCCCCTTGAGCCAGATTTAATAACAAATCATATACTCAGCTTCCACTAGTGCTGGTATCAGGAGTTGTGGTAGCTTGTAAAAATTACCTGAAAAGATGCTCAGGTTTTTTAAGCCTTAGTTTGCAAATCAGTTTAAATTTTTTTTCAGTCTGTCTGAGATCCATGAAAGCAAAATTGTTTTAAGAAATAGTTTTTGAGCCCTTTCTACAGCTGTAGGGGGGGAAAAAAAAAAAAAAAAAAAAAAAAAGGAAAAAAGGAAAAAAAAAAAGAAAAACTAATCTTTCTCACTGTAATGAAAATGTGAAAAATCTTGAAAATGTGATCGAATACACACTCGAGTTCAAAATGTCAGGCAAATCAATAGAATATCTTTGTAATGTATAGCATTCACAGAAAGATCCATGGATTTTCCATACTGAATGTTAGCAACATTCCACATATGTCATCAGTTACACTGCTGAGTAGTAAATAAGCAATGTTGTGTCATACAATAAGCTCCAACCCTCTTTACAGTCCCTGTATGGTACAATAATGGAAAAAGAATGAGACTCACGTGGAAAATCTTTGGGATGAGTTTTTTCTGACCAGTTTCCATAAAAAGTTAGCCTGTATTTGGCAGTTCCACAGGCACAACAGTCTAAAATTGGTTTGTCAGTCACACCTTCTGAGGCTGAGTCTGAAAAAGCAGCAAAAGACCCATTGAAAATGGTTACAACTCAAAATCAACAGATGACAGCAAAATTGCCACAATAAATACTTCAGTAAATAAATCTGAATGAAATACTTTTTTTTGGTTAATTTATAAGTTGGGCTACACGAAACTAAACTAGAACCCTGAAATACCTGGATCATATTTTTAGTGGATGTAATTATTTACATCTACATTTTTAAATAAGAAGGTGCTGTTATTTCAGTCATCTTCTTAATTCAGAATGGTTATTTTTCTGGTTCTTATCTGCTACAGATGAAACTTCAGTTGATCTCAAAACACAATAGGCTTGAAATTTCTGGACAGCCAAAGCATATAAATTCTCCTGTGGGATGCAATAACCAGCTGCAATCCTTAAAGTTAGGAAAGGATGAAATAGCCCAGGATTCAATAAAGTGCCCTGAAGACAAACAGGTTGCATATGAGGACCAGGTTAAAAGTTGCAAGTATCTCACTTAGGGCAAGTCAAGGAAGATTGTATGAGGAACAGAGTATGTGATAAGGAAGAACACGACGGAACGGAAGATCCCCAAACTGAAGTCAAATAAAACAGTTCAAGGCCTCAAAACTTTAGTTTGATATATTAAGAGAAATATGTAGAAAATTATGAGAAGGTCCAAAAGAGGTTTTACTTTACCTTACCTTGTTCACAAATTTTTTTGGTGAGTGAACCCTCATCTTGAAAATAAATGATGCGCTTCTGCACAATGCTGGCTCTATAAAGGGAAAGTAAAAGGTCTGAAACATTTTTATTCCTTAAAGGAAGATAGAATGCATTATAAAGTAGCTAGGATAGAACCTGACTGCTAAGACCTAGGCATATTTCCCTTTTTCTGACAATACATGTATGTGATACAGGACCATATATAAGGTATTTTTTTTCAAGTTGCATTTGAATTTCATCACATCTTACAGAAACATGGAATGTTACTACCTTTAGAGAAGTGACAATAGTCATCTGTGCTACTGAAATGCATTATGGTCGACTGAATATTCAATCTTTCAATCAAATCTTATATTAAAATACTGAAATTATATTAAATTTCAGGAAAATAATATAGTTAAAGCAAGCAGCTCTTTGTAGGAAATTACCTGGCATTCTAAGGAGATTAGTACTTCTGATATATGACAGCAATTCAGTGCAAATATGTAAAACAGCAGTTAGAATAAGAGCTTTTAAAAAGTCTTCAAAAGCAATTCAAAGGTTCCAAAAGACAAGTCACTTTAAAATTAATTAAATCGAGAATATTTTATTAAGTCTTATAGTTAAAATAAAATGTAAGTTTATAAGCCTCAGCTGGCGAGGGAGAAGGGAGTGAGGGGGCAAGGAGATTGAATCTGAAAACAATACAGAGAAAGCAGAGCTACTGTGTAGTTTTATTTTTTACAGCTGCAATTGTACAGATGAAATCTAGTTAATTTTTAGCCTCCCATCTGAGACACCATAAATTGGATTTTGTATCAAAGATCTTCAAGTCAGCAAAGCATCAAGCCCAAGTTAATCTTGCAGACTGGTATTATAACCACCATATGTTAAATGTCAAAAACATTAATCAACTGGAAAACCGCTAAGGTGATCCCTCCCAGTCATTAATAAATTAAAAATTGACCATTTTTTTAGCTGTGAAAATTTAATGTAAACATGTAAACTTTATCTTCTTTATTTAAAAAAACAGAATCTGCTTAAATTCAAAGACATTATTTGGAGGGAGTTTTCTGAGGAGAACATGCTTCAGGAGCTGGCACTCTACTTACTAGCAAGAGACCACATTCTTCTAGCAACATTCTGTACCATCACTTGTATCTGAAACTCTAAAAAGAAAGGTGAAATTCTTGTCTTACCTCAACTTTACAATAAAATAATTATCTTGATCTCCCTAGAGTTATTCTTCAAACACACCAGTTGAAGTGAGAAGAAAAATAGGACTGTATATGCTTAGCAGTGTTGTTGCAGTCATGTAAACCTTTCTTGACAATGTCCCACCCATAAAATTATTAAAAGTAAGGTGCACTTTTACTATACTTTCTTTGCCAGGATTCAACACCAGAGCAGGATAGGAAAGAATCCTTCATTTCACATTATTAAGTACCCAGCAGAATAACGGGGTTTTGCAAATCTCTCAAAGCTGGATGAAACAGGAAAGGGGACAGAAACTACAGCTTGCTCTCATCCTTAATAGGGCTGGCATCTTCTAAAGGAGGAGATGGTAAAGGATAATATAGGCAATGAAGGCTGTGAAAAAACAATGAGAAACAGGAAAGAGGAAGACTGACTTTCGTAAAAAAGCAAGAGCATGATCTGCCAGTACTTGGTGAAGGGGAACTCCTAGGCCTTATCTTTATAAAGTGTTCACATTAGGGATACATTTTGCCTGTAGCAAATAACAGAAAAGGAATGAAACTTAGACTTAGTTAAATGTCTTTTATTAAAGTGACAGCTGTCATGGGGCAATTTAAATGGTGCCAGAAGAGCTTTCTGAGGCATCTTTTTCAGTGTTTCTAACAAGAAACAAGGGGAGGGGGAAATAAAACAAACAAACCCACTCAAAAAACTACTAGAAAAAACACAAGCCAATGGCCAGCCAATGGCAGTGGCATGCTACCTTATTCCAGTCTTTGCACTGAAATCCAAAGACAACCTCAAAGACTTTGAGGATGCTGTACTGCAAATGAGAACCAATACTTTCATACAGACTCAACAAAAGATGTACAATTTTTTATATACCGTCAAACACGGGTTTTCAAACACTGTATCATAAAACTGGAAAACTATCATGGATGATGATTAATAAAATGCCAAGTAACAGAAACCTGAGATGAAATGGATTTGCATCATCACAACTCATATTGTCAAGATGCTTTAATTTTTTCTACACTGGCCAGTTACAAGCAGCTGTCTTCCAGGAGTGATACTAGGGCCAATACTCTCTTCAGAAAAAGCGTTGAGTGTCCTGGTGGACAAGCTGCCATGCACCAACAACACAGCATTGCCACCAAGGCAGCCACCAGTCTTCTGGTAGGTTTCAGCAACCTGGTCAAGGAACATGATTTTTTCCCCTCCATTTGGTACTTTTGAGACCACATCTGGAGTATTACAGCCAAGTCTGGACTGCCAGTTAAAGAAAGACATTGCATTACTAAATAGAGCCCAGCGAAAGGCCATCAAGATCATTAGAGGAACTGAGCCCATGTTGTCCAGGAAGAGGCTGAGAGAACTGAGTTTGGTCAGACTAAAGCAGAAAATGCAATGGAAGGATCTTACTGTTTGATGTCCTCAGCTACCTGCCAGAAAGATAGAAAAGAGTTAGAGACAGATGCTTCTCAGAAGCGCATGGTGGTAGGATGCAAGGACAAGTGGGGACACATGAAATGCCCTGAAGATACAAGGAAAATCTTTCTCACCACCAGGATGGTCAATGCGATCAAACACTGGAACAGGCTGCATAGACAGTTTGTGCCATCTCCACCCCCGGAGATACAAAAGATTGATCAGTCCATGCCTCAGGAACCTAATCAGCCTACCTCATGTAACATCACCTACTTCAGTTAGACGAATGGACTGACTTCTAGAGGTCCTTTCCAACCTGTATTATCCTATTATCCTGTGCTGTAAATATAATTTTAAAGAACAAGTTTTCCAAAGCTTAAAAAAAAAAAAGAATAAAAGAATCCAAGCAAACAATGAGCTCCCTAATCTGCATACAAAAGAGATATTACAAGTATTTAATTAGAGAAGTAGTTATTTTAGAAATTAAACGTTGAAAGACTGAAGCCTAAAGTGTACTTATATTATTCCTTTTGCCGCATTTAGCTTGACACTGTGAGATGTCAAGGGAACAGTTCCTTTTCTAACAACAAAAGCTTCACAGCTTTCTGAGCCATTGTCTCTTCAGCTGTGTTTCAAATTATACATGCAGCAAATATTCTAAATGGGAGGTTTGTTACTGATTGCAAGTATAACAGGATTGGTATATTAGATAGCTGCATAAATACTGAAAAGGCACACAACTTTACAAAGACTCAGACAGAAACAATATCAAATTAATTTTAAAATACTGTTTTAATAATCAGCATCTAGAGTAAAAGCAGATCAGAGCATCTGATCAGTGTATTTGCCTGGTTTTTACCACTGCCTTTTGTTGCCTTAGTTTTTTTTTTTTAAACATTTTTTTTTAAAAGCTTTGATTTGGACTGAAGATTCTTTCATTTGGTCTTGAGGCTTATAAAAACAGCTTAAAAATGGAATGGCTAACTTTTACAGATAAGTAAGAAAACACACAAGGTACACATCTTTCCACCACTCCCAACATCCAAGGCCATCTGAACTTTACACAAAGGGGAAATCCAATTGCTTTCCCCTTCATCTTAACATATGTAAGTGGATCTTTAATTGATTTGTTTCTCTCTGTAACTGTCAGGATGCTATGGAATAAAAAAGAAAACGTATATAAATATCACTCAAAAAAAAAATCTGTTTTCTTTCCATTTTAGTGAGTGATTCTTCTGGGTTTTTGTTAAAGCTTTTTCATCACCAAACTAAGGAGTAAAACTGTATGTTACCTCTTTATTTTTAAAAATCCCCAAACTGCTTAAAGTGTTATTTATTATTTCTGTTTGGTGTTCTCAGCAAAATCCAGAAATACCTAGCTTCTATAATATTTGTATTGATGATAGTACTTCAGAGTGCTGTGGGTTGGATACAGGCAGGTCAGAGTCTCTGCCCTGTCTTAGCACGAGGGAAGCAAGACCTGCCCTGGAACAAGAAGTTCCCTTTCCAGCACAGTTCCACAACAATTGTACCGTCCTGCTCTGAAAAGCTGTACCAAAGTCACACAAATTGCATTTGGGATATTAACAAACAGGAGATGTTATAAACCATTAAAAAAAAAACAAAACCAAAAAAACAAAATCAAAGGAGTTTTGGGAATGCTCCAAGTCAAACCAGAAACAGAGTTGTTTGCAGTTTTTTTTCTTTCTTCTATAGAAACAGCTTTAGATCATCCTCACTCTTTCTGTCAAATCCTAGCACCAATAGAAATATTCTTATTTTAAATTGCCTCTGTGGGTGTAATGATGTGACAAAAGTAGTACGGAAGAGGATATATTAGAACTGTTCCTATGACATTTTTTAAGCTTACATCAAAACCATTAAGTACAATATTAGAGTTACATTTTAATAAAACAGGTTTTTTCCAGAGCTGCTGAGGATACCCTAAGTTTCAACTGGATATTGAGAAGTAATAATAAACTGGACTGCAGATAAGAAACTTTTTCTGCTCTTTATTACTTATGAGTTAACCTTATCTTGCCCTCTCAGCCATCAGAATTATTTTCTTTAATTATTTCATGCCTTACTGATTTAATTACACTATTATAAGTTGTTTTTCACCCCAGAAAGCTATTTAATACAATCATACTTAACAGGATGTTAAGTTTGCTTGGCTTTTTAGTTGTGTTATCTTTTGCAAAGAAAGGATTTGTACATGTACAATTTGCTTTAGCGCTAGAAAGTGTGGTGAAAGTCACGTATTCACAGCTACTGTACTTTTGTTGGTGCTGAAGGGTTTTGTAATTCTAATACATTATTCAGGATGCTCTCATTTTATTTCCTTCTGTCCTAGAAAAACAACCGCAACCCTACTTTTCTGTCAAGCACTTACAAGGTCAGGAAATGTGAAAACTCCCAGAAGTTTACCAACAACACTTACTTCTCTTT